GAGAGGAGCCAGCTGAGGTGGCTCGGGCATCTGTTTCGGATGCCTCCTGGGCGCCTTCCTAGGGAGGTGTTCTGGGCATGTCCCACCGGGAGGAGGTCCCGGGGAAGACCCAGGACACGCTGGAGGGACTATGTCTCTCAGCTGGCCTGGGAACACCTCAGCGTTCCCCCGGAGGAGCTGGAGGAAGTGTCTGGAGAGAGGGAAGTCTGGGCATCTTTGCTTAGACTGCTGCCCCCGCGACCTGGTCCTGGATAAGTGGAGGAAAATTGATGGATGGATGCCTAATACTATTGTAATATGTTTAGTATTTATTTGTTATAGCCTGCACTTACATCACCACTATTTATACTTAATAGCCCATGAAATGATAGCCTATGAGTAGCCTATACCTTGAAAAAAAGTCATACTTTTCATTTAGAAACAGCACAGACATAACAAATAAACTAGGCTAAGTTTATGTAGCAGAAAAACAGCAAGAAGCTAGGCTATAGGATATTTTTAATTTAAAAAATGGGTTTAATTATTAGTTGTCACACAGTTCTCCCCCGTCACGTCAAAATTACTATTTTTTCTTAATAAAAATTTGTATACCCAGTTGCATTTGGTCTGCACATTTTAGGTCGAGAGTCACCTCGAAGTTGCAATATTTCCCACTGTAGTCCAGGTCAGTGAAGTATAGATACACTTCCTATGGCCATATTTGGGTGAGCGTGAGCTCAGAAGCATTTCGAAGGACGAAAATGAGCTTTTGTCTCACAAGAAATATCACAAGAAAAATATCCAAACGTTGTTTTCACATAAGCCGACTGCGTCACGTTTCCAGAAGACAACAGCGTCCTTTTGCACTGACCTGAGGTTTGATTCACAGGAACTCTGACACACGCAGCTGCAAAAACATTTCACACTGGAAAACTGTCAGCAGACACAGGTGAGCTGGATTTTTTTTTTTAAACCATGTAACCGCATGAAGAGTCACCTTTTTAGTATAGAATAATTAAAGCAAAAGCATGCATCGGCGGCGCCGGGTCATACTGACATTAATGAAGACGTTGATTAATTGGCACCTGTTGATCTGAATTCACAATAGTTAGAAATCATTTGATTTGATCATTTTTGACGAAGTTCTGTTGGTATTCAGAAAATAACAGTGTTTGAATGATTATATGGCTGATTTATTACGAATCCCGTGAGCATTTGCAGCCCAGAGATCCGACTTGTTCCACTTTTTGTGCGAAGAAAGATCATAAATGCTGTGCAATCTGCCTGCCTTATGGCTAAAAGTTCCCCTTCTGTTCATCATAAACATCTTACTCATGATGCTGGAAACCTGATCAGTAGCTGAAGTTGCTTCTGTTTGCTCAGAGTGAAACCAGATTAAGGCAGACTAGACTGACACACATTCTAGAAATCCATTTAAGTAAAATGTTACATAATGTTGGCTTGACTAAAACTCTGACAGGTGGACAAGATTGTATGGCTCTCACAAGTAGTTGACAAATCGTTTTACTGTATTTGTGTGTTGTTTGTAAATTCCTTCCAGTTATCACGCGTGTTATTTAGCACATCTCTAAAGCTAGAAACGCCCCATACCCCATTAGGAATTAAAACACACACACACACACACACACACACACACAGGTGCAACAGAGCAGCATCACACCAGATAAAGACAAAGCATGAAGTTGGCATTGAACATATTTCACTTATGAGCCCTGGTCACAAACATCTTGAATGCACTGTTTGAAACATTTAGAGTTAGAAGCAGTGCTTTGTTCTTGCCTACAAGTTTCCGACAATAAGTTATATTTCTTATGAAAATAAAGGCGAGGTTAGACCTTGTGGTCTTGATGTGCCTCTAACCCCTTTAGCAGTTGACGCATAATACGTGCTGTGCTTCAAACTGTGTATGAATCAATCTCATGCTCTGAAGGTGCCCATGGAGTGACTTCTCTCTCTGTGTCACACAGAAATACACAGATATCTCTGCTAGAATCATATTTTCCCCCAGTTACAGCAACAGCAATTCTGAGGCTGAATTTTACCTGTGCTTTTAATGTTGACAATGATGACATGTGCATAACAAAATGGATTACGTTTCATTATTCATCGACTGCACAAAACTAGTCTAATACGAAAGAAGCTCTTGGTTGTGCATAATAAAAATATAACTGAATGTTTGAATACTGTAGAAACCACATTTGTCAGCGTTTTTTGTTGTTTAAATATGTGGGTTTCTCCTCTTATCTTAAGAAGATGCCTGGTGGAGGTCATAGCTCCACTTTATGCTAATCTTTGAGTCCATTAGTCATTAATTAATCATTACTCTTAATTATTATACAGGAGATGGTGGTCATTACTTAGAAACCTGTCCATAAAGGAGCAGCTTCCCCAGTGTTTTCCTCTTGCCACACATCGAAAGAGACATGAAAACATAAAACAGTTATGGTAATGCTGTACAAATATAGCACTGTTGTTGTTCTGTTCGGAAGTACACCATTAATTATAGCATGTGTGAGCAGTTGTATGGCTTAAAAGCATCATTTGTGCTGTAGCACAGTGTCTCATCAATGCAGATTGATATTTTTTTTGCGTAAACTATGGAGCTGGTTATTGCATCTGCATAAAGACTCAGTGGCTGCTATTTTTGACAGCAGTGTTGCTGCTGGAATGTTTTCGGGGTGACAAAAGATGTATTATCTATGGTATAATAAGCAAGGATTTGTGCCATTGTTTAAGTTTTATATTTTGTGTGTGGCTGTCAGTGATTTCTGCTGCTTGGCAGCGGTGCAGACGCCCTTTACAAAAGCTCACAACTGCCAGTTCCTGGGATTTTCTCTGGCAATCAATTTCCAAGCCAAAGTGGCTGTCATGTGCCTCGACAACACAGACGCCGGGAGCTTTGGGGAATAGGAGAGTTGATGCACTGCATTTGTGTTGCTGGATTATACAGTATAGATGACAGTGATGTCCACATGTTTCAACACTCAATCCACTACAAAGCTTGTTAAAGATTTGACACACAAAACTGGCAGTTTGATCCATTTAGCTCATATGTCCCTAAGGGCTGGTCACATAACAACATTGATTGCCGATGATGAGGTTCTTTGTTCAGCGTTAAAGGTTATGATGATCATTCTTTTAAGCCATACTACAGACTAATCTATTTGCAGTTATGATTTGAATGTGTGTTCCCTTGGGCTGATGTGATTAAATTAACTTCTGAGAAACACGGAGGTCAAAACATGAAAGTCTTGTTTGATTGAATCGCATACAACTGTCAATGTCATCATAAGAGGAGATGGTTAATATTTTCCTTTCATTTTTGAGTCTCACGAGGAATGCAATGAATTAAATGCATGTTCCTAATTACATTAATTATAAGCCAAAGAAATGTGGAAAATCCCAACCCCTTCCACGTCTCTATCTCTGCCTGTCTCCCCCCTTTGAAGCACCCAACACCACTCAAAAGGATGAAGCATTTAGGCTCAAACACACTTGGAGAAGTGCTCAACGGCAAAAGAGCACTGCCTTATAAAGGTGCGTTATTGAAAAGCACACAAAGACTAATCTTTAGGTGACTGAAGCTGCTAATGACGTACTGCAGCAGAACACATTGTAAACCTTATTACTTTATTGATCTGCTACAGTTTGTTTCATTTGGAGACATCAGACATGTAGGTGAGGAAGTGTTTTATATGCACCTGGATTACAAGTGTCTCATAGAATTGTCTCCGTAACAGTTTTGTTATGGGATGAAGTGACAAGACTGTGGCCTGAATGTCCATGTGTTGCTGCATTAACAAATTACACATTATAACACGTTAGAACATTATGGGTCTTTTTTTCAGCCTTTGTGGAATTCCATTTACCTGTATTTACCAGCTCTTTTTCCTCTGCTGTTACCATAGAGACACTCCAGCCCTATCAGCTAGGCGCCTTTGGCTGCCGGGCTCATTGGCTCTCACAGGAGAGAGACACTGGTGAGCAAGTGTTTCCTTGGCATGACTTCGGCACCAATGTAGCGAGAAAGGCATTTACTTGGCTTTGACAGTGTTTCCTTGGCAGCCAGAGCCCCACCGACAGTGGCACGTCAACCCGTTTTGTCACTATGGGTTGACAGCTGAGAAATGTGAAATCCAGTTGGGAGAGATCCACTCCTGTAATTGAAATGAGTTCACCTGGGAGACAGCTGCTCTGTGATTCCTATCAGCAGTCCAAGCTTACCAGCCTGTATGTAGTGGATATGATGTGATGCCAGAGCAGGGTTTTAGGCTCCTTTTCTTTTGGCAGTTTTTTTTTTTTTTTTTGTAAATGACACCATAATTTGAAGTTGAAAAACATATTTTCTGTTCACCACAGTGAGCATCCATGCGTCAGGTGTTTTGGCTGCTCAGCCTTCTAAAGAGGTCATGAAGAGAGCATAACACTGCTCAACAGAAGAGCACGAAACAGTGAGCAGCCTCTGTTCAGTTATAAAATGTACATAAATGCAGTTTTGTTTTAGCAGTCACTGTAGAAACCTAAGAATCTGAACTTTCCACTGCTACAATATTACATAAAACCCATAGTTTAGATACAAAATAAAACCATCTAATGCTGCTAATAATAATGACAAAATCAACTAATTTTTCATTCAATATTTTTTCTTTTTGTCTTACCATTATCACAGAGCATAGTTGTTACAGTATACCAAACATTTAATATGATTATTTTCTCCTGAAGCTAGACCGCTCACCCAGATGGGAGCTGAGGTAATGTGGCTCTGTGGGTGAATCATACACATAAGAACTTTAATAACATCCCAAATAATGCTACAAGGGCTATGAGAATACAAAGCTAAATTGAGACAGGAATATGAAGCTAGAGGGAGCTGCAACATCTGTGGTCAACTCCCTGAAGGTATAGTTGGCGTTCCTGGAAAAAACCAGCAAGACCAGCAAGAGGAAGCTCGCCAGCTGAAGAAATCCTGCCCTTTCGTTCTGACTTCTCTCCAAAGCCACCTCTCCAAAACACAATGCACACTGCAAAGCTACTTAGAGATTTCAGGAAAATAACAAATCCCCTCCAAACAAAACAAGACCAATCATTACCTGTCCAGCAGAAATATGGCCACTATAGCGTCACTTTTCAGCCTCTTTTGTTCTCTCAGTTGTCGCCATCTTTCAAAAGCCACACTAATGGTAATTCTGGTTTTACTTCTTGCAGCATCCAGCTTCCTTTTCAGTTGTAACTTTCTTGAACGTGTTCTCCGTTTGAGCTGAAAAGCTGCTGTGGGTACCTTCTCTGCTATAGCTTGCTAGCTATTAAAACAGAGCAGCAACACATCTGCCTGCTGGGCCTTGTGGGAGACTCCTGGCTCACACAATGAGTGCAAGGACAGAGTCCGTGCAAGCAGGAAGTTAGACTGACAGGCAGGTAGGCAGTCTAATGGTTTTGATCAGACCGAATAAAATTACTGGTCAGGCTTTTTTCAGCTCTGCTGCCACTAAGGGTGGGCTTTTTCTTCATGTTCTCAGTGCATTATGTACAAAAGACTCTTCTAAAATGAATCACCAACCCTACCTTTAAGAAGGAGAAATTCACCAAGGTAATACCAAATGTAGAGTTGTAGAGTCTTTTAGCACAGTTGTCAGAGGAACAGGGTCAGGATGTACACTGTAATGCACAGGACCTCCAAGACAAAGCCTCCTTCAGCACAGCTAGCAAAGTTGAAAGCACCGGGGAAGAAGATTATGAGCAGAAATCATGTGAACCTAACACCAGCAGCAGACTGTAGGTGGGCACATCTCTAAAAGGAGATGCAGTGAATATGATAAAGGCCATGGCTGAACTTGGGTACCGTTTATGTCAAGAAACCTTTTGGCCCCAGCAGATGACAGAGACAAGTCATAGAATTGAGGAGACAGTGGAATAGAACAGGACAAACAA